ATGTCCCCAGCTTCCGCCCTAATTCAGGTCCTTTGCACCACTGGTTCAGACTACTGCTACTCTTCAAGGGTCCTCTCTGCCTCCACATCTCTCCTTGTTAATCCGCCCATCACAGAGTTGCCAAAGAGATTTTCCCCAAGCATGGGTCAGTTCCCTTCTCAATCAATTCCAATGGCTTCCACCTTTAGAATCAAAGAGAAACTCCTGTTTGACATTTAAAGCCCCTCACAACCTGGTCCCAACTTACATTTGCAGACTCATTACACATTACTCCTCTTCAGGTACTCCACAATCCAGCCAAACTGGCCTTCTTTAACAATCAGCAGAATTCCCTGTTTCAATTCAATTCAATTCAATAAGTATTCATTAACTGCCTTCCACAGGCAGAACATAAACTCTGATGTTTGTCAGCTCTCTGACTTGCCAGCTTTATGGCACATGCCTTTCTTCCATGTACATTTTGGTCCAGTCAAACTGGCCTTCTGACTGTTCCTCACAGAGAATGACAATACGTTTTCCCAACTCTATGGCTCTACACTGGCTATCTCCATGACTGGAATGCCCTCCATGCTACAGAGGCCTTTCTTGACCCACAGAGGCCAATGTCCTTGCATCTCATCTGGATGTGCGTGCATGAGTGCGCAATTCTCACCGGACAGAATGCAACCAACTGATGGCAAGGACAGTCTCACTTTGTCTCTGCAGGCCTGGTATCGAGCACAGCACTATGGCACCGAGAAACCAGGCTGATCTGGAGGACAGCCTTTAAGGCCCCTTTTGGCTCTAAACCCCAATCTATCTTCCTGGGGTCCTATAAGCCCATCTCAGGAAGGACAAAGAAAGGTAGCCTGCCTCAGGACACCTGGGCACAAACCCTCACTCTGCCACCATCCATGATGACCAGACATGACTTGGGCAGGCTGCTTCACGTCTCCAGGCCTGTTTCTTCATGTATCAGGTGAACTGCAGATGCTAGGTAAACTCTAAATCTCCTTCCGGCTCTGAAGCCTGTGGATCTTTTTCAATATTCCAGGCAGGGACTGATGAAGGCCCTCAGGAGGTTGGCAGAAACAAGGGATGGATATAAGAAAGGTTATGACAAAATTGTTCCCATCCCTAAGTCACTGGCATGCATTTCTCAAGGACTTGCTTCCCCCACACACTAGTAAAATCTTAAGAGCCTTTTCCCCTATTCCACTGTGGCCCTGTGTTTTCAGGTTTTTGCCAATGTACAGGATCCCAAAGGTCTTGGTCTGAACTCTGCCAGAATGGGGAGAGCATAGGGGAAGGAAGTAAGTAAGAGAAGAATAGTTAAAGAGAAAAGCTTGGATCAGATCTGTTTCTGCCCAGTGCCACAGCCTCCATCTTCTGAGGCCTTCCAAAGAGGCTCCCAGATGAAGAAATGCCACCACTTTGAAAACAAAGAGCCCCAGCTGGCATGTTAGCTGATCCAGACAGCCAAGATTGACACCTCAGAATTCTGCATTGCAAAAGCCACTGGCATTATCTGGTCGGGTCTGCTACATATATCCAGGAAATCCGATGGTTTTTGGTATACCAACTATTAGGTCAAGAAAAACCCATCCTCTATGCCTCTGTCCATTTGACTCCTATTGTGTGAACCTGGGTGAGGAGCTCACGGGGACAACCTGGACATTTTTTCAAACGCTAAAGAAGCTCTCCAAAGTTCCTATGGACAGGGATGGGATAATGGACGGAAAACTGGCTTTGGAGAGTCACCAAGACCCAGTTTCAGGGCCTGACTCTGTCACTTACTAACTGTTTGATTTTAAGGAAGTCCCAGGATCATAAAGTTTATCTGTACAAGGAGCTAAGATTGTCCAGGCCAACATCGACAAGTGAAAAAAATAGGCTCCAACAGTTCTAGGGCTTGCCCAGGAGCACACACAGCTCTTATGTGTCAAGATCTACCCAGGTGTGCTTGCATCTTTGGGCCCTTCCTGCTGCCCCATGTTACTGCTTCATCTCTAAAAGGAGAGAACTGTGCAGGCACAGAACCTGTATCACAGGTCACCATGAAGCTCCAATGAGAACACATGCAGAAGATCACATGATAGCCACTAATCTGTTAAGAAAGCATCTCCAAAGTCTCAGAACTCTTGATCTTTTCCCCACATCCACATTAAGAAAAACTCAGAATGCTTTATGATATAACCTTCCTAATTAAAATAAATTCACAAAATTATCCAGTAATCACTTACCTACCCAAGTGCCATTAACAGAAACATTCCTCAGTTCTTTCAGCAAATATTGACAAACCCCTCACATACTCACTACTGGGCCCTCTGCATCAGCAAAACTCATCTCTAGGACTACATAATTTCTAGCACTGGACCCTTCAAGACCACTTATTCTGCCCCTCGTTTTCCAAAGGGGGAAACAGCCTTCCCAAGGCCACAGAACCAGGGTTAGAACCCAAGTCTTGAGGCTCTTCCCACACTCCCACACAGTACCTCACACAGATTTCTGAGATGCTGAGGAATCAATGGTTCAATTCTATGGTTCACCCTGAATATGGCTCTTCATCTGAAAAGTGTTCACATAGAACTATTTCTTTAAAAGTGCTAGAATAAACAAAGACCAATCGGTGGTTCACTTATAGGCCCTCACAGATGATCACTGCTCTAATAAGCAATTGCCCTAAGGGCACAAAAAAACCGATTTTGGTTTAATTTGCTCATAAAAATCACTTTAAAAAAAGATTCTCCTCTATCCAAGTGGTCAGTACCCAATTCCTTAACTAAGGAAGGAATAAGAATTATGAGGTAGAGTGTTATGGCAAGCTAGGGTTCTGCATTCTAATCCTGGCTAACACCAACTACTAGCTGGTTAACCAGCAGCAAGGTGCTTTCTCTGTGCAGGCTTCAGTTCCCCAAATGTAAAATGAGGGCACTGGACAATTTGATCTCCACGGGCTCTTCCATGTGGAACAGCAGCAAGGAACACTGGATTTGGGGATTTGGTGTCTGAGAATCTGGGTTCAAATCCTGGCTCTGTTAACTGTCTATGGAACCTTAGACAAATAAATCATCTCTTTGGTCTCAGTTTCCCCATCTGTAAAAATAGAGAGATTCAATTAAATGACTTCTGAAACAACACATTTTTATGTCACTTTAAGATTTGCAAAGTGCTTTACGTATGTGAATTCATTTGCTCTTCACAACAACCCTGGAAGGCAGATGCTATTATGGTCCCCATTTTACAGGTAAAGAAACACAAAGTCAAGAGAGTTGCCCAAGGTCACACAGCTAGTGAGTGTCTGAGGCCTTCCTGACACCCTATCCAGAATGCTCTAAGCACTGAACCATCTAGCTGCCCTAGAAAGGGAATATATTATCTCTAAAGATGAAGAAACTGAGGCTAAAAAGGCTCCAAATATTAATAACTAAAGTAGGCAGGTCTGAACCCATGTCTTCCAACTTCAAGGCTTCTTCCACAGACCCTGCAAACTCCTGAATCAGACGTGGTGTCCAAATAAAAATTAAAGTAGTATCCTCTGATAAAGCCCATCACCTAACTCCTAACAGAAGATGAAGAAAAGAAGGCCAGGACTAAGTGATACCAGTCAGCCACCCCGACCTTCCTGACAGGCCACCTCCTCAAAGGGAGGAGTGCAACTGAAGCTATCAGGGAGCATGAGCACACACCCCACTGGGTCGGCAATGAGGCACTGCTTCGCTCTGGGAGTACCTGAAACACTAGAGCTCAAGGACCTGACTGACACTTGGCACTCTCCCTTTCAACAAACAACTGGCAGAGCGCTTTCCCAATCTTTTGACATCACCATTTTGTGGACCAGGAAGACCAAGGCACAAAAGACACAGAAAAGGAATCTGTCCTCCCCAAACCCCGAAGTTCACACTGCTGACCTGAAGGTGACCTGGGAGTTTCCCAGGGAGCCAGGGCACTAAGCAGAAAAAAGGCCCATAGGGATGGGGGGGATGAAGAAGGGGGAGCCCACGTGCTTCAGCAGCAGACCCCCTGAAGAACAATATGACTGAACCCCAGCAACCTTCTAGTGAGGTCCCGGTTGGGGGGAAAAGGATAAAAATTAAGGAAAAGAAACCTAGAAATCCCTTTCAAGAAACTGAAAAATCCACTTTGTAAGTTTTGGGGAGAGAAGAAAAAATAAAGAAATAAGAGGGATAAAGGACACAGGACCCTCTTTCTCTGATAAGATGTAACACATAGGCAGGGACTAGGGGTAAAGCCCACAGACTCCCTAACTCGGGAAGATACTTCCCAGGTAAATCAACACACCCCTGCCCATCGATTCGCTGGCTGGGGGCGAAGCAAGGCTCAAATCTCAGGTCCTTGCCCTCAAGGTGTTTGCAATCCAGCCAGCAGCCTGCAGAACCCGGAGGAAGGAGACCAGGCCACAGCTCCTCCTGGATGGGGGAGGGGGAAGGGAAGAAGGGAACCATCCCCTGGGCTCCAAAGGGAAAGCCATCCCTGGGGGCTCCAGGAGGGATGCCACCCCCTACTCCCAAGAATGCCTCCATTGTTCCCAAGCTCTGAAATCTGTACACTTATGCCGCCGCCCCCCCCAATTCCAGAATCCATGGGAATGGGGGGGGCAGACAAGAGCCCCGACGCTCCCCCCCACCCCGGACTCCAGCAGACTGTGCGCCCCTAACGAGGAAGGGCCTACAGCTGAGTCCCCCACATCGGGCCCTCCCAGGATCCTCACTGCCCGAACTGGGGGGAAGGGGGGGAGATGCACCAGCAGGAAGAAAGGGAGCCTCGTCCTAGGCTCCTCCTGGGAAATGGTGGGAGACGCCGAGCTCCTCAAGGCCTGCCCTCCCTGCCCACTGGCCCCGAGCCCCCCTCCCCCCCACTCCTAAACGGGAAGGGTCCCCGCTCGCCCCCCCTCCCCCAGCAGTGCCGCCTGGCAGCGCCCCCCGCAGTGCCCGCCGGCAGTGCCCCTCCCCAGCCTACCCCGCCCCCGGCCAGGCCCGAGCATTCGCTCCCTCACTTACCGGGCTCAGCGCGGGCCGGGCCTGGGGGCTCGGGCAGGCGGAGGCGGCGGCGGCGGCCCCGGCGCCATGTTCTCTGCTGCCGCTGCCGCCGCTGCTGCTGCTGCTCCTCCTGCTGCTGCTGCCGCTGCTGCCGCCGCCGCCCGGGCCGGGAGGGGGAGGGGCCGCCGGCGGGCGGGGGAGAGGGGAGGGCCGGGCAGGGGAGGGGGAGGGGCCGCGCTCCCGCTCCCTCCTTCACACCCCGCAGTGCTCGGGCTCGGCCGCTGCCGCCGCCGCCGCCGCCGCCGCGGGGGGAGGGGCGAGGACAGGGGCGGCCAATGCAAACGGCGGGCCGGGCCGCGCTGTACCGCGCCGCAGCCCTGCCCTGCCCTCCCCGGGCGCCGCTGCGAGACCCGGCCCGAGCGCGCGCGACGAGGCCGTGGGAAGGTGGTGGAGGAGCGGGGAGGGGGAGCGTGAGCTCCAGCGCGAGCGAGCGCACGCGCGAGGTACCCCGGCCAACCGCCGCCGAGGCTGGCTCGAGGGGGGAGGGGCGGGAAGGGGCGCGAGACCCGGCGCGAGGCTTGGGGGGGGCGGGGGGGGGGGCGGGAGGGAGGCCCGAGCGCGCGCACGCGCCCCAGCGCGCGACACAGCACAGGGCGAGGAGGCGGGGCCTGCGAGCGCGCACGCCCGCAAGGCGCTAGCCGCAGTGGGGCGGGGGGCGCGTGCGCGATAGCCTCTACTCTAGAGCCGCAGGAGACATCCAGAGGCCGGGGGTAGGAGAGAGGGCACGCCCGGTGCGAGGCCCCTCACGCCAACGCGCGCGGGCGCACCGAACCTCCCCGCGCCGCGACAGGAGTAGAGGGAAGGGGAGGGCATATCGGCCTAGCGCGAGCCCACCGGCTCGCGCGAGGCGTGATCCGCCAATGAGAGCGCGGGGCGGGCCTGAGCCGCAGCCCCCCGTGGGGAGCGGGCGGAGGGGGCACGCGTCGGAGCCCGAAGAAAACGCGGAGGGGAGGGCCAGGGCAGGGCCGCAGCCCTTGAGGGAGTTGGAGAGCCTAGGGGCGTGGCCTCCGTCACCCAATCAAGGGCTTGGGTTCCGTCGGTCCCGCCCCCATGGGGGCGGGGGCGGGCAGCGCGTGCTCTCCAGTGGCAGACGCGGGCGGGCGGCACCAGCTGAGCAGCCCCGGGGACTGCGACGGGGCGGGTGGCTGGTCAGTGCTGGGCCCGGGGGCAGCCCCGCAGCTGCCCAGAGCTTCCAGTTCAGGAGCCAGAAATAGGAAGGAAACGGCCCTGCCGGGGTTAGGGTCCCGACCAGAGGCCCGTCCGCCCTCGAAGCGCTCTCGAACCCCGGGCCGAGCGGCTTGGCTGTTCATCGCAGTCTCTTGGAATATCTGCTTTCCAGGATCATCTGAGACTTCCTGATTAGGCCCCCTCCCCTTCCCCCTCCGCCTGCTTTCTCCAGCCTCTATTTAATTTGTAGGGTGTATGTACACCCTGTCTGTGTAGGGTGGCTTCTCTCCAGTGGGATGCAAGTTCCTCGAGGGATTGTTTCATTTTTGTCTATACAGAAAGTGAAAAGGGCACTGGATTTGGTTCCACTATTTACCAGCTGTGTGACCTGAGGGTAAGTCACCTTCCCTCTGGGCCTCCTGTCCGTCTGTCAAAGAAGGAAGTGGAACTAGACGACCTCTTAGTTCCAGCCTAGTCTGTGATCCAAGGTGCATGAGTTGAACTTTGAATGAAGGCAGCAATTCTAAGGTGGAAGTGAAGAAGGATGGTCCTGGCAAGGTAGGACCCGGATGAAGGCACACAGGCTGAAAATGAAATTGAGACAATTTAGCCCAACCCCCCTCCATTTTAAAGATGAAGTCTAAGAGGCCTGTGGGGTGTTCAGGGCGGGCTGGCTTGCCCACCCCTTTTCAGGGCCGCTCATCTCCCTGTGGTGTCCAGCTGGCACTCCATTCTCCCCTGTAGTTCCAAGAAGCTATGGCACACTCAGCATCCAAACCCTTGTAAAACTAACTCAGCAGATAGGAAAAACCAGGCTGACGGTAATTGGTAATCGATGGACCTCAAACCCGTGGTTGAGTTGGGGTGATGTCCAACCCAAGCATGAAGACTTCCCCCAGGAATGGGTAGATGAGAACAGTTTGTTCCAGCGGCTTTCAGCTGTTGGTTTCAGGTGCGTGGAGCACGTAGAGCTTGGTCAGAGATCAAAGACACCGAGGTCATCCACCACATCCCCCGCCAGTGCCAGGCATCCTGACGTTTGTCTTGGATGACTGTGGCTGAAGACTCTGCCACTCTGCCTTATGGCTCTCATTCACGATTGAGTCAAGACATCACCTGGTGTTGTTGGTCCTCTTCAAAATCGAAGAACGAGCCACGAGAGGTGGAAGGGGCCATGGACGTAGTCTAGGCCAGTTTCTTCAGATGAAACTGACACCTGTGGAGGTGGAAGGCCAAAGATCACACAACTGGTCTACCAGAACTAGGTCTTAGGTCCCGGCTTTCTAACTCCACGTCACTGGACTTGAATCTGGAAGGGGCCTTGGAGACCAGCTTCTTTTTAGATACCTACCATGTATTGCTTTAGTGTGTCTTTTTGGAGGGATAATGGTGCCTAATGAGATAATACTTGTAAAATGCTTCCCAGAGTGCCTAGCAAATGGTAGGTTCTTAATTAGTATTTGTCCCTTCCACACCCCATCACTCCCAGGATATAAACCTGGATTTAAATCCTGCCCACACATTGGCTGTGATCCTTAACCTCCCAGCACTCTGGGCCACTTTCAAGTTGCAAAGGCAGTGCTGACCTGTATTGGAAGAGAGATTATCTCTACCCTGATGTTCCCTATACCAATAAAATCACCAGGTCCAGTCCCTGACCTTACATTTGTTTTACCTCTTACAGTAAATACTAGCTGATTGATACCTGTAAGAGGTGATCTGGGAGTTCCCTGTTTTGGTTAAAATTCATAAGCATTTATCGAATCAAATATAAACTCCTCTGTCTGGCATCCTGAATTCTTTACAAGTTGGTCCCAGTTTTCAGCCTAATTCCACCTGACTCCTCTTCACACGCTCTAAGGTAGGTCCAGCCAAATTCATACAGGACTTCATACCACGTCTGGGCTCCTGGCCTTTGTCCCCTGGTCATGCCCTGTGCCTGGGATGTACACCCTCCTCACTTCTGGCCTCAGACTCCCTTACTTCCTTCAAGATCTGATCCAGCCCCACCTTCTGTCCTGGTTCCCCCACAGTAGCTCGAGCCCACCCTCCAAAACTACTTAAGATTTATTTGGTATGTCCTTTGGTGGCTACTGTTTCATTTTTGTCTTTAGATTCCTAGCACTAAGCAAATAATAAAAATAAATCTGTGATTTGTTTATATGTATTTATTTATTTGTCTTTCCCATTAGCTCCTCGAGGGCAGGGACTGTCCCTTGTATTTCTTTTATCTCTCCAGTGTTTAGCCCAGTGCCTCCCTGGTACATAATAGGAGCTTAATAAATGTGGGCTGATTTCATTGGTCCAGACCACCCTGGTGAGAAAAATCCTTCTGCCTATGCAGTTCAGCATATTCTCTGGAATGTGCCCTCTAAGACCGTTGGGCAAAAACCTTCAGAAGTTAAGTGATTTTCCCAGGGTCACACAGAGACTTCCTTGCACCACAGCCAACTCTGTCCACTAGGCCATGCTGGCTTTCTAGCAAAAGTAGTTGGTTAATATATGCCTGCTGATTGCTAGGTTTGGGACTGAGTGCCGAGGAGGCAGAAATGAAGAACTGTCATGTCCTTGTGAAGTTTACATTCCAATATGGGATAATCAGGAGTTTGCAGATGAGTGAAAGATTGGACAGCTGGAAGAGGGAAAGACTGGGGAATCAGGTGGGTGGGAACAGTTACCTCAAGGAGAGGATGGGGAGGGGCCCCTTAGGGAATGGCTACCCTAGATCTGCCAGTTTGAGACTGATGAGCTGGTAAACCCAGCAGCCTGTCAGAGGACCTTGTTTCTGAGGCTGGCATCACCCTACCCCACCCCCAGGAATGAGGGGGAAGGGGAGGGGAAGAACAAGCATGTTTCAGCACCTACTGTGTGCCAGGCACTGTGCTAAGCATTTGACAGATATTAGTGCCTTTGATTTCATAGATCAGATTTAGCGCTGGTAGGCCCCAGGGATTCTTTTTTGTATCCCCAGAATCTTGGCACATGGTAAGCATTTAATAATTACTTCTCCAACTGAATCTGGCCCAACCACCTCATTTTACAGAAAGGGAAAGTAGATCCCAGAGAAGGGGTCCCTTGCCCAAGGACTCGAATGTAGTAAGTGATTTTCCAACTTGGAACAGAGGATTTCAAATTGAATGCTCCTTCCAGTAGATTTTAAATCATAAGAATATCGATCAAATCTAGAACTTAAAAGGACTTCAAAGGCCATCTAGCTGAAAAAAACCTCCTTTGAGAGATGAATTTGAGGCCCAAAGAGGCCACGAAAGGTCCTACCACTAGCAAGGTCACACCATGCTAGGATTTGAACCCAGACCCTCGGTCTTTGAGCTAGTGCCTTTCCCATTCTACTGGGCTATGAATCAGCACGAACAGAACGCTCCCCTCGGGGTATGTAGCAGAAGGAAGCCTCCTCCCCCACACTCGTGCCAGGCCTCGGCTCCAGTAAAAATAAACAGACAAGTAAACAATTAGCAGATTTACATAAGGATTGCCAAGGCTAGCTGCTCTCTAGCTGTCTGGAGCATCCCCTTCGGGCCCTGTGGACTGACTGCCCCCCTACAAGGTTACCAGCGGCTGCTTTTGCTCTGGGCCCTCCTTGCGCTGACCCAGGTTCAAGAAGGCAGTCTTTTCCTAGAGGGTCCCCGCTTCATTGCCCCTCCCAGGATATTGCAACAGGGAGCTCCCTGGGGGATTGGGAGTGGAGGGAGTGGGGAAGTGGAGCTGCTTTTGCTGACCGTGGTGGAATCCGTCTGGTGAAACCCAGAGGACTTTGGATTGGGACTCAGGATGACCTGACTTCAAGTTCTGGTTCTGCCTCTTCCTATCTGT